CCTCAGTTTTTCCACACAAGACCTTCTCTGTCTATACAGCAGCACTGTTGCACTGGAAGAGTTGTTGACATGGGGCTTCCTGGTGGCCCCACATCAGCTTCTTTCCCTGCTGCAGTTCCTAGGAGAACCCTGCTCCAAAGTCTCCCTTACAGCTGGGGAATAACATTCTACCGCCCCAGCCCTCTATGCAAATACAGTCCTCTGCTGTCTGTACAGTAGCCCTGCTGGAAGGGGCGGGGGCAATAGAGCTGTGCCAGAAGAGCTGTTGCTGTTCTGCTCCTTTCCCAACCCTGTCCTCCAGTGGGACTGCTGTACAAAGATGCAGCTCCAGAGAAGGGCAGGGTGTGAGGCTGAGGGGTTGTGCTATTTCCCTGCTGCAGTGCCAAAACACAGCAGGAGGATGGAGCTCCACCTTTTCCCAGGCAAGGATGGTGGATCCTGGGGAGGGGTTGGAGAGAATGTGGGTCCCCAGGCTGGGTGGGGAACAGTCACATGGAGGGTCATCATGTATTCCCTGTTAGTGTCCCCTCCCCCTCCACAGTGTAAGAAATGGATTCCACTTGTTCCACTGAAAGAAAGAGCAAATGGTGCACTCAATATTCACTTTATTGCATTTCTTGTTAGAACCCCCAGCCATTGCTTCCCAGATTGAAACCAGCATGCTATTTGCTCACAGTTGTGACAGAAAGCTTCATCAGATCCATCAGGGCATTGCTCCACTCCATCGCATGCAAATGTGATGTCAATGCAGCAGCCATCATCACAGATAAATTGGTAGCGAGAACAAACTCCAGCACAGCCTGTGTTAGAACAATTCCCAAATTAAAAGAAGGAAAGGAAGCCCAAAGACAGGATACTAAGTCTAATGAGATATTTGTATTTTAATGTTATAGCAAAACACAGGAAAGACAATGTAAAATAAAATGCTGCAGAAAGACTAGAATGAAGCTGCTATTTCACACTATGTATGTGTTCCCGCACCCGCTTCATTATTTTGGTAGCCCTTCTACAGCGAGACTGCGAGCTGAGATCTGCAACACCTCAAACTCTGTACTGGGAGATATCAAAACAGTGTCCCTGACTTTCATTAGCTAGCTCTGAGCTTCTGCTCCTTCAGTGAGTGAGTTTGATAAGCGCTCTCTTAAAAAAAAAACAAAAACAAAAAACAGAGCCAGCCTTGGGGCTTAGCTAGGCTGCTGCTATAAAGGGAAGGATGTTTTAACCTGCTTCAGAACTGTTCTCAAATAGCAGAGGGAGCACAGAATTGGCTACAACAGTCAGCAGTTGGCTTCCTTCCTGTGGGCTCTGCTCAACAACTCTTAATGGTGGAAGTAGTTTTGTTTCTACACAAATCCAGAGCAGCAAATACCACACTTTCTACAGCACTGACCTAGACTATCAGTTGAAAAACCCTGGACAGGTCCCAAGTCAAATAAATAGGAACATTTTGAATGATGTGGATTTAATTCCACTTGCTGCACACACCATTTCATAGCTGAATATTTATTTCCTATCTATGAATGGACATGAATTTGTATGTGCACAGACATACTCAATTGTTTTCTAAGCTGTGTGTCTTCCTATTGCATTTTGTCAAAACTGATTTTAGGACTTATGAAGGACATGATCTTGCATCCTTTATTCATATTAGTAGCTCCAGTAATTTCAAATGTAGCATGTACATGAGTAGCATTGAGCCAATGTTCTTGCAAATTATCTTAACTGGAAAGAACTCGATTGCTGCCTTCCTTAATGTTTAAATTTCTCTGATAATGAGAATGTCTGTCTTGGACATTTCAGCACTGCTGTTAAATAGTAAAGGCTTTCCTGCAGCACATTTTGACCATGTAATTATCAAGTGTTTTCAAATCACTTTTGCAGCAGTTCTCCCAATGGCAGCATGTTTCTTTGATTTGTAAAATGCTCTCAACTCCGGTGTTTCGTTAAGATTGGAATAGAAGATTAATCTGCAGGAGTAACTCAAATGAGCAGTTACTACACACTGATGTCTTCCATAACAGCAACTACAGTGAAAATTCAGCATGAATGTACACTGTCAGCTAAAAACTATACTTGGAAACTCACACTTTATAACATTTAGTGCTAAAAACACCATGGCTGTGTCTACATTGGCATGATTTTGCGCAAAAGCGCCTGATTTTGCACAAAAACATGCTGGCTGTGTACAGTGGCGGGGAGTTCTTGCGCAGAACACTGACGTTCTAATGTGTGAAATCAGTGCTTCTTGCGCAAGAGGCCAGTGTAGACAGGCAACATGAATTTCTTGCGCAAGAAAGCCCGATGGCTAAAATGGCCATCGGAGCTTTCTTGCGCAAGAGAGCATTTACACTGGCACGGATGCTTTTGCGCAAAAGCACATGCCAGTGTAGACGCTCTCTTGCGCAAATACTTTAACGCAAAAACTCTTGCGTTAAAAGTATTTGCGCAAAATCTTGCCAATGTAGACGTAGCCCATAGGTGCTGTCTGCATTAAGGAAATCTACTAGTATAATTACATCATTATCATTTGGATTGCAATAATTTGTGGGAAACATTAAAAGGAAACCTCATCTTCTTTGAAAAAACAGCCTGGCTATGTCTATACTGCACCTCTCTTAAGCAAAACCTATGCAAATGAAGTGTGGATTAGCATATTGCCACACTTCATTTGCATAATTAATTAGGCCATTTTTGCACAAAAAGGAGCTGTGAAGATGGCTCCTTTTTGCGCAAAAAACCCCTCTTGTGCAAGAGCTGTTCTTCCTTATGCAAAAAGGAGCAGTCAGCCCCTAATTAATTATGCAAATGAAGTGTGGCAATATGTTAATCCATGCTTCATTTGCATAGGCTTTTGCACAAGAGAGGTGCCATATAGATGTAGCCCTTCTCAGTGAAAAATCCTGAACACATTTATATTACTAATTAGTAGAAAGCACAAGCTATTAATTGTTTTTTTTCCACTCATCTAACTAGTTACACTAGTGCAAACACCTAAAGGAGAAGTACTGTGCTGGTGCAGCTTAATCTGGTAGCATTCCAAAATATGCTCTAACAGTGTAAGTCCTGCTTTGCACATGAATCAGCGTTATACAAATGCGAATGTAGAAAGACTCATACCTCTGTGGCCCAGGACTTTGGTCTAGCAACATCCATGGTCCATTAGGACCGTGGATGTTGCTGGACTAGAGAGCCCCAGTGCAGAGGTTGTGGGCAGCTGGGAACAGAGCCAGCTGGTGAGGCCAGCGGAGCTGCAGAGCCCACAGGGCACAGAGCCCACAGCCAACTGCACCAGGAAGCCGGTGGGACCGCTGGAGCCCATGGGACAGGGAGGGGGGTAGAGCCCATAGCTGGGAAAGGGGGAGGGCACAGAGTCCACAGCTGCTGGGCTGCAAGCACCAGCAGGGCTGGCAGTGCTCACAGGACTGGTAGGGCTGCCGGAGCTTGCAGGAGCAGTTATGGCTGCAGAGCCTGTAGGGTGGCAGGGCCAGGTGGCTGTGGAGAGAAGCCCACTGGAGAGGCTAGGGATTTCCCCTTCCACCTTCCCTCGCCTGGAAAACTCCCTTGTCTGGGACCAGGGAGGTCCATTGTGTACTAAAACTGGAACTTCCAGAATGGATGTTTCTATCAGAGTTCATGCAGTTTGTTACCCCTCTCCCCACATCCCAATCTCATGTGCAAGATTTGAAAAGTCCTTCTGAGGGAAGTTTTAAAGAAAAAGAAACAATCCAAATCTGCTTTAGTTTGAATAAAAATTCACAAAGAATTTTTTATCAACAGTCTATGGATCTTACACTTACTAATTGTTTCTTTAGGGGTCTTTCACAACTGCATATGCCCTGCCATGTTCTATTGATCTTGCATTGAATGTAGAATAGACATCATAAAATGCCTGATACAGACGGTAATACTGAAGCTATGTTTTGCGTGGTCTGCCCTGCATATTCATCTGCAATGAACAGATTAATCAAACACATAAAAGGATTTTCCTTTTCTGTTTCAAAAGCTTTTTATAACCCCTTCCCCATTGGAAATAGGAATACAAAAGAAAGGAAGCAGTTATTAAATACAAAATAACATTATGATACGTATCTGCATTCCCAACTAGCCCGGGAGACTTTTCAGAGATGTCTCCCAGCAGCAGTCACACAAGCTGTTGTTATTGCAACTATTTTCTCACCTAAGGCAGTGTGAACCATTGGAAGAATAGTCACAGAGATATTGTCTGAGCTCTTTTGACCAGCAGTGTCCGTCACAGTCAACTGAAAAATGTAAACACCTTCTTGCAAGTGAGAAAGCTTCAATGTTCCCGGCTGTGGTACCTGAGCAAAAGAGAGGGGCCAGAAAGTTCATTTTTAAAATTCTAGTCCTGTATCATTTACTGACATAGAAACATAACAAAATCTGACCAATCATAAATTTCTACCAATAATTGAAACATTTCTGTATGATGCTTCTCAAGAAGATTAAATATTTCTCTTTTAAGTCAGGCCAGATCAGTCAGACATAGTTAATTCATAACATTTAGATCTCTTGATGCCTTCTTGAAAATACCACATGTTTAGCATACATGGTCTTAGTAATAATTCTTTGTATTCAATTACCAGGTGACATGCATCTGACGAAGTGGGTCTTTGCCCACGAAAGCTTATGCTCCTACACTTCAGTTAGTCTATAAGGTGCCACAGGACTCCTCGTCGCTTTTGCAGATTCAGACTAACACGGCTACCCCTCTGATACTTGAGGGATTTGGGTTTGTGTAGTTTGCAGAAGAGAAGAGCGAGGGGGGATTTGATAGCAGCCTTCAACTTCCTGAAGGGAGGTTCCCAGGTGTTGAAGCTGTGGCTATCAAGTACACAAACAGGATATGTGAACATTTAAAGTATCTACTGGAATGATAGGTAAAATCCAATTTGGAAGCTTATTTTATCTTATTTTTTATTGTAAAAAATATGTAGCTCCAATTTGGCTAGAAAACTAGGCCAAAGTATTTAAAGGGCTTGGAGATACTGCATATGCAACTAACGAGTGCTTTAGAAAGTGGTTTCCCAAATTTCATCTGTAGCCTAGGTTTGTCTCACAATATGCAGTCACATCAGAATCACTACACTTAAAAGAAAGCTTTTCTGAGTGTAAAGAGTCTATCTAAACTTCCAAGAGAAGCAAGCTCATATCTGAATGTATATCTATCTATCTATCAATTGCTAGAAGCTGGCAAGTAAACACCTGGTAAACCCGAAGACTGATTTTTATTATAAAAAATTGCTGTATTCTTTATATCTTTATTCCAGAAAGATTCAGTCTGAAGCAGGCAGCTAATATGAAAACTGTGAGACCAAACTGTTAAAGTTTGCCAAAGGGATGAGCAACTGAAAACTATATTAAATAATGGAAAGTATAGGGAAACTTGAACAGTAGGAAGTACTATCTATCCCATCTGTTGTGAGACAATATATTAAACATTACAAGAACCTCTGCATATTATAATATATATATTTCTACAAGCCCAATAATTTTGATGGTAAAAAGACGAAATATTCAAATAGTTTTTCTCCTCACACTGTGAAACAACTTTTCTAATAACTGAAATACTCGATGTTAGAATGATATACCATTTGATTCATAAATTTGTGCTGTATTGGGAGAACATATTTAAAATTACCTAAGTTGAATATGAGTCAACAGTGTGATGCTGTTGCAAAAAAAGCAAATATGATTCTAGGTTGTATCAACAGGTGTGTTATAGCAACAGGTGTGTTATAGACCAAGCTCCGTCTACACCATCCCTGACAGATGTCTATCTAACCTGTTCTTAAATATCTCCAGAGAGGGAGATTCCACCCCCTCCCTTGGCAATTTATTCCAATATTTGACCACCCTGACAGTTAGGAATTTTTTCCTAATGTCCAATCTAAACCTCCCCTGCTGCACTTTAAGCCCATTACTCCTTGTCCTGTCCTCAGAAACCAAGAGGAACAAATTTTCTCCTTCCTCCTTGTGACACCCTTTTAGATATTTGAAAAATATCATGTCCCCCCTTAATCTTCTTTTTTCCAAACTAAACAAGCCCAGTTCATGAAGCCTGGCTTCATAGGTCATGTTCTCTAAACCTTTAATCATTCTTGTCACTCTTCTCTGTACCCTTTCCAATTTCTCCACATCTTCCTTGAAATGTGGCGCCCAGAACTGGACACAGTACTCCAGCTGAGGCCTAACTAGGGCAGAGTAGAGCGGCAGAATGACGTCACGAGTTTTGCTTACAACACACCTGTTGATACAACCTAGAATCATATTTGCTTTTTTTGCAACAGCATCACACTGTTGACTCATATTCAACTTGTGGTCCACTATGACCCCTAGATCCCTTTCCGCCATGCTCCTTCCTAGACAGTCGCTTTCCATCTTGTATGTATGGAACTGATTGTTCCTTCCTAAGTGGAGCACTTTGCATTTCTCTTTATTAAACCTCATCCTGTTTACCTCTGACCATTTCTCTAACTTGCTATGATCATTTTGAATTATGTCCCTATCCTCCAAAGAAGTTGCAACCCCACCCAGTTTGGTATCATCTGCAAACTTAATAAGCGTACTCTCTATCCCAATATCTACATCATTGATGAAGATATTGAACAGTACGGGTCCCAAAACAGACTCTTGAGGAACTCCACTTGTTATCCCTTTCCAGCAGGATTTAGAACCATTAACAACAACTCTCTGACTACGGTTATCCAGCCAATTATGCACCCACCTTATCGTGGCCCTATCTAAGTTATATTTGCCTAGTTTATCAATAAGAATATCATGCGAGACCGTATCAAATGCCTTACTAAAGTCTAGGTATATGACATCCACCGCTTCTCCCTTATCCACAAGGCTCGTTATCCTATCAAAGAAAGCTATCAGATTAGTTTGGCATGACTTGTTCTTCACAAACCCATGCTGGCTATTCCCTATCACTTTATTACCTTCCAAGTGTTTGCATATGATTTCCTTAATTACCTGCTCCATTATCTTCCCTGGGACAGACGTTAAACTGACCAGTCTGTAGTTTCCTGGGTTGTTCTTATTCCCCTTTTTATAGATGGGCACAATATTTGCCCTTTTCCAGTCTTCTGGAATCTCCCCTGTCTGCCATGATTTTTCAATGGCCATAAGGCAGTGCATGGGAGATGGCCAGCCCTGTTACAAGGCTTTGGTCTTTTCTTTGCCTAGCACTGGGATTGGGTCCAAGGTTTATCTTGTTTGTTCTAATCCTTGGGTGAAACTAAGCAGCAAATTCTCAGAAAATTATAATAACCCACCTGTCACATATTTCAATGGCTGCATTCTATAGGCAGCAATTTGACAAATTATTTTTAGCTAAATTATCATGAAAGATAAAACAGTTTCTTTCTACTGACTGCCTGCTGCAATATGATAAGATCTGTTTATAATCACCCCTGTGTCCTCCTATGCCATCCACTTGGCGTTTTTGTACTTACGTAGTGCAATGTAACAACTGTCTTTTCTCTTAAACATACCGTTCCAGACTCCGTGATGCTTTTGGATTTGTGTACCGTTTAAAAAATGGACCACAAAGCAGTAAAAATAAAAAACAGGGAATATATATATGAATAATTATGAATATTAATTAAATGTTAACAAATGAATGTGGTCTCTGCTAATTATCCTTTAACGGGTAAAATCATGACTCTATTGAAGACCATGACAAAACTCCCATTGACTTTGATGCAACCAAGATTTCACTTTTTAAGCATGAATTTGTGAAAAGTGTTCATTTTTGTTGAACAGATCAACCTCTTCACAGGTATTTACTTTGGCTCCAATACAGTGGTTCTTTCACACAGTCAGCTCTAATTGACTCTAATGTGACTCACCATTGACTCTAATGTGACTTATGTAAGTTTACAAAATTCCAAGTTTGACCTCTTCATTTTTTTACTGTACTTTGGTTTGACTTAAGCATAAAAACATAATGTGTATTGTTTTAACATCTAAACTTTAGATTTAGATTTGTTTCGTTTTCTGGAAGCATACTCCCATAGTGAATATTAATTTAAAGGAACTTTTTAAAAACAAACGTTTGTATAATAGCCAATTCCTTTCATCTATTCATTCTATAAAAATTATTTAACTAAATGTAGTAATCCTGAAAGGTGGCTAGATAATGATATTCAGTTATTCACAATATAGGTAAAAAGTATTCTCTGAATATCATTCAATTTCCCTGTGTTAAAGTACTTGGAAAGTGTATACCTAATAAATGCCTTGCAGACTTCCTAAATTCTGTATCAACACAATAGTAAATTAAGATAAACCAGATTGTTTATGATGCATTGACATGTGACATACCAGACTTTTGAAATCCCCTCTAGTCATTTAGTATTGGGATGATTGGCAATTGACTTGATTGTGTTTGTAGTTTCTGTGATGTGGGTCCAGATAGCAGGTGAAACTTTCAGGACTGCTCTTCATTGGTTAACTAATGCTGAGAGTTTTTAAAAATCCCATTCTGAGTGTTTTGCAAGTAGTGTGGCAATAAATTAATTTCTGTGCATAAATTCAATGACTAGCTATCGGAGAAGTCTACATGCTTTCTTATCAGTTTATAAAGAAGCTCTTTTTTGGCTTTTGATACAGGGACCTTTAGCAAGAATCCATATGCAGATAGAGTAAACCGTAAATAATCAACTAAGGGTGTGTCTAGACTACAGAGTTTTGTCGACAAAAGTGGACTTTTGTCGACAAAACTATACTTTTGTCGACAGAACTATGCTTCCAGAAAACTCAGCAGTTTTGTCGACGCTAGTAAACCTCATTTTACGAGGCATAACGCCTTCTGTCGACAGAGTTCTGTCGACAGAAGGTGTTATTGCATGTAGGGTTGTGTCTAGACTACAGGGTTTTGTCGACAAAGCAGCTTGCTTTGTCGACAGAACTGAATGTAGTCTAGATGCTCTTCGTCGACAGAAACTTTGTCGACAGTATTTGTCGACAAAACATCTGTCGACAAAACCCTGTAGTCTAGACGTACCCTAAGACTAAAAGTCTGATTGCCTGACAACTGTTGGGCCAAATAGTGCTTTCCATTACACTATTACAAATACAGAGTGACTTCACTGAAGTCAGAGTTAGTTCTGATTTGCTCCAGTGTAAATAAGAAGAATTTGACATGGAGTGAATAGTATGAGGCACCTCTCGGAGGCACAGCATACACAGGTGCATCCTAGAGGAAGGGTTGGCTAAGAGAGCTTTAAATGGCATTCAGGACCTCCTGATTCTCCTAGAACAACTTGGCAGGAGCACTATACAGAATCTCAGAAGCATTATGTCTCGTGGTCCACTCCCTTCCATACCTGACACCCCCTCCTCTCTTTGAGTCACAGGCACCCCCTCAATGTTCATACTAGTGAAGAGTCCTGGGCAGTGTTCCCTCTAAGCTTCCCCGGTGACTAATCAGCCCAGCCCAGTCAGAGGCTCAGGGCTCCCTGCAGGGAACTGACTCTGACTGGGTGGGGCTGATTAATCACCTGTGGGGCAGCACAGCTTCACAGACTAGGGAACACTGGTCCTGGGTAAAGCCACAAACACAACCTTATGCACTACCTGCCCCATTGGAAGTCTCCCCAGCCATCAATAGGTCTCTTCTGGTCTCTTTGTGCTGTCATGGCAGCATACAGGATCTGGGCCTTTAGGGATATGTGGTATCCCTACCTTGGTGTTTAATTTCAAATCAAGATAAAATGGTACTGGAACTCTTAGGAATAAATTAAAACAGTCTCTTAAGATAGTTTTTATTGTGACTTGCTTTTGAGCTTCTCTCTGAGCTCTTCCAACAAGTCATTGGTGAAAATATTTAAAAAGTTGTTTTAATAACTAAGCCCTGGTCTAAACTACAGAGTTATTTTGAAATAACCCCCTTGTTTTGAAATAATAAGCGGAGCACCCACACTACCAAGCCTGTTGTTTTGAAATAATGGGCTCATTATTTCAAAATCTCTAAGCCTGCTTTCCTTGGGGAATAAGCTTATTTCAAAATAGTTATTTTTGAGAGTTATTTTCAATTTAGTTAGTTTGAAATAATTTCCTAGTGTAAACAAGCCCTAAGTTATTGAAGTATCCTATCCTGGAAGCTGAACAACTGCCAGTAAAAAGAAGCTAACATGTATGGAAAAGAGAAAGTTAATATATTTTTGGCTCTACGCCTTTGACAATAATTTTTCATACCATTACTGGAAAGTCAGAAAAATTAGGCTCTGTTTTCCCCCCCACTGTTTATCCTAATTGATCACAAATCACACCTATGTGAATAGACTAACACGAGACATCTACATTTACAACTGAACTGAATAGTTATCAGTTAAATAACTGATTTTTTTGCATGCAATACTGTATGTACCTTTATATCAACTGATGAATCACCTTGCAGCAAAGTCCACTCATACAGTATGATTCCATGGTCATCTAAGCTTTCTCGGCCATCCAAAATCACCCAATCTACTGGTGACTGCAGCACAATATCTTCTCCTGCCTTGCTGTGTGGTAGCTCATCATTTTCTTTAAAAAATAAAATAGCTTAGTTATTCATCAGAAGAAATAGACTTCTTTATATATAATTGAAAGTAAATATTCTCTGTAAGACATTTTCACTCTGCTTTTCTCTAATTTGAAAGGTAGAGAAAACCAGCTTTCAGCACTGTTTTCTGTCCCTCAAAATGAATTCCAATTAAATAAGTTCAGCCAATTCAGCATTAAATAAGTTCAGTGACTGTGTGCCTGTTATTTGAATGCATTCAATCAGAAGTTTGATTACAAGCACTCCATATTCAGAACACAAGCTGAAGGGAAAAAATACCCATGGAAGTTCTCCAGAAGCTAAGCATTAATTAATTCTCTCTCTCCTACACAGAGGCTTTTAAAACAGTATTTACAGTGTAAACTGATGCCATACCGTTTCAAATCCAAGAGACAGAAACAATAACAAAAGCAAGCAATTTAACTTTAAAATGTGAAGTTTAATTATGTCTAAGTGCAATACTGATAAACAGCTGAAAGATATCCCAGCTTTATCTAGAAAGCAAACTGGTATATCCTCATGTTATGAAACCTCAGGTGCAAACAGAGATGTTTCAGTTGCAATAGTTATACAGCAAGTAGGATGGTTGGAAGAGTTTTTATTTAATTTGAGGACCAATGCAAACATAAATATTATATAAAATACACAAGCAGAACATACAATGTATGGTCCGAGAGCTTTACATCTCCCAGATCCAACACTTAATACAGGATTATTAATTTCCTTGCAGCCTCTTCATGGTCCTCATCACTCTAGGAACTTCAGGCTCTATAAACATGAATTGTTTGAAAATAAGTCAATCTAGTGAAGTGGTATTATCATTAGTTTGCAGAGGGCAGGTCTGAAGCACAGGAATTAAGGCCAGAAAACTAACACTAATTTTGAATTACTAACTTGGGACATCCTAGAGGACTATTTAGAATTTTATACCATTTTGTGTTCAAAGCATAGTTTTCACTGATTTAACTTGTGAGCATGTAGCACTTCTGCAAAGCAGACCACCAGTCTCTCAAGATGGGTGTCCATAAAACGATGTCAACAGCAGGCTGGAAAACACTGGCTTTGGTGACTTGTCCAGAAACACACAAGAATTCTGTGGCAGAGGCAGATTCTAATCCCCAGGGCAACATTAAAAGTGACGCAAGCATTGGATTATCCTTTTCCTTCTTGCAGTTCCCTGCCTCATTCACTACATACTACCACTGGCCAGCAGGTGGAGAATTCCCATTCTGTGGGACATTCCACATTGTTTTTGGAACAAAATTTCAATTTCATTGTGACAGATGAAATGACATTTAATCTTTATTTTCAAAATGTTTCCAAGGCTCCCTAAATGGTGTGGAACCAAGCAGGGAGCCAGGCAATATGGGGGTTGTCTGGTTGCTGAGACCCTGGAAGCCCTGGATCCAGAGCAGTCCATATGGTGAGCTGCCAAGGAGTGGAGAAGCACTGGAAGCCACAGCTCTGGAGGGCCACTCCAGATTTGAGGAGCCTGAAACCCCAGCTCTGAAGCAGCCTACCAAGCAAGCTGTTCCAGAGCCAGGCTTCCCAGCAGCCCACCTGGTGGACTATTAAAAAAACAAGGGCACTGTGGAGATGAGATTGATTTTTTTAATAGAAAAATCAAAACTTTGCAGCAAAACAATTTTTCCAAAGGTTTTTTTTTGGGGGGTGGAGGGGAAGTCATTCCAATGGGAAACTTCCAAAACTGCTCTTCAACAAATCTTCCAACCTCGGTAACAACTGATGCAGGTATCTTACAGAAACAAGCTGAATTTACTGTGCATTCCTAATTTATTCCCTCGATGCAATCCAGCCTGTGCTCAGACTGAGGCAAGCCTCCATTTTCCTTCTTCTGTGCCTGTCTCTGCCCCATCTGATGCTCCTCACCCCTCTGCATTTGAATCACACTACTTCCTCCAGCTCCACAATGCCTGGGTGCCAAGAGGGCAGTATTGGGGAATAAGAGGAGAAAAAGTCTCTGTGAACTTAGTTTCAGTCTTCAGCACAGTAGCAGTTTTAGAAATTCCATTCACCAGGAATGGGATATTCTCTGTGGACATAGAATTTTGGTAGCAACCTATGCTGAACACGTAGAAACAATTTTTCACTGGCCTATAACTTTGAAAATCTATCCAAATTTGTTTAAGGAAAAGAATATCCCTGACACCAAAGTAACCTTGTGCCAAATGTCAAATCCTTAAAGAAGAAATGAAAAAACTGTAGAAATCTTTTGAACAGTAACAAACAAGTTGAACCATATTTTCCTTAATCTCATTTTCAAGAACAGGTGAACCATTTTTGCTGAATCCTTCAAAACTCAGTCTGAGTCAGACAGGCAACATGAAAAACTTCAGCCAACGGGGTTTATGTCTGGCAATGTAATAAGCAACTGAACATTGGGAAGAGTGAGGCAACCTTCATAAGTTAGATGTGTAGAAAGTGAATACAAATGCCATGATTCTCATTTAGTAGAAGTTTACACTCACACTGCACAGATGTAAATGATGACAAAGCACAAGGGGAAAATCAAGTTCATAGTGCGAATTTCAACTTTTTTTTAAGATTTATTAATGTTTAAGAATGGATATTAATATGCAGATTTTATAACTTAACATTCTCAAATTGTGTCTGCCTGCAGAAAAGGAGTGATAGCTTTGGAAACCACTGCCTCCTTTTCTGCAGAAAACAGCAGATTTAAACAGATCTCCTTTCTTTTGTTTCTTTCACAGACTTGGAGCATCTCCAATAAAACTGTTAGGCAGTACTGGATGGCATCTGAATGGAGGCTTTGTTGTAAAAAGGTCACTTTATTAAAAGCTCTTACACTTCTGTTGACATCAGTTTACCAGAATATTAATTTCCCTACTTTTCATGAGTAAAAAGAACCCCAAAGAAACTTAACTTGCTGGTCAGAAATTCAGGGCCCCTTTCCCTTCTTAAGACATGGAAAGTTTTAAAAGAAGACTAATAGTATTACCAAAGACAAAAAAGACAACCCCTCCTTTTAATAAATTCATTTTTTCTTTTTAACATATCATTAAAGACATGAAGGCTCAGATTCAAAACTGTGTTACTCTAGATTTTATTTAAATATACAACCATTGACTCAACTGAGTTACATCGGCATGCAGGTGAAGTAACACCATGAGAATATGGACGTTAAAATAGAGAGAGATTGTATCAGGTTAAAACAGAAGGTCTAGCATAACTCCTCTGATTTTCAGTGAAATTAACCCAGGGATGCCATTGGACTAAAGTCTAAATCTGTCAACAGGTATTCTCAGAATTACAAATACAACTGGGTTGAGATTGTTAAATTATTTGAGTAATTTTCAGCAGTGAAACATTAGCGATCACCACAGTTCAGAACTGTAAAGATGCTATGTTTTGTAAAAGATATATTTAAAAAATATATATCTCAAAAAGAAAATGTAAAAAGATTCTGTGTGTTATGAACCCATGATTTATCAAAACAAAAATAGGTAAAGTATGGTTTTAGTATGAGGGGAAAATCTTGAAACATAGAGCACATTATCATAAAGCCAGTAGCTGCATGATATGTTAATGTTAATTTTCAGAATAACTTTTCAGTTTAATTCAAAAATGAAAGGGCAGTACCACATTAGACCTCAGTATAACTTAATCTTCAGTTTTTCTTTCCTGGTGTATGTCAGGGATGTCAAACATCTGAATAAATTACCTTTCTGCCTCCCGGCTCTGCTCTGACTCCTACTTAATTGCATTAAATAGTTATAATTCCATTTATGATATCACAGCCAACCCATACAGAAACAGACTGGAAAAACCAAGACACCGATCACCTCAGAGGTGTGGCCAAGAGACAAATTTCTATCCTCATTCTACAATCATGAGCAAAAAATAGGTTCTGAAGAAGACTATTCTAGATCAGATATTAAAATTTTGCTCAGACAGACTTAAATGGAAATTGTGCAAATGAGGTAAATGAGTGCAGGCCAGACATTACTGGTACACATTTTTATATCAATGAGTAAATCAGACATCCTGAGCTGACAAACATAACTGGTTAAAGAGCATAAATTAGAGCTAAATTTACTCATTTTCATATTGCTATTAAAATTGCATTAAGCATGAAAGCTACCTTTTAAGGGACTGTAGACCGATTTTAATAGAAATATAATTTAAAATAAAGTAGTTATATAACTATATTAATTATTTTGAATATTCACTATTCAGTATCCACGTGCTTCAAGCTGTGGTGGCATAAAACTGGTGCGACAGACTACAAAAATCAGATTCAAAGTCTCCACCCCAATAAGCAGTTCTATTGGTCAAATAGTGTTAGGCTCTGTCTATACTAGCATGTTTGCCAGCAAAATTTTTGTTGGCCAGGGGATGTGGAAAAAAACTACACTCCTGACTGACATGAGTTTCCCCCAAAAGGAGTCTGTGTAGATGGAGCCATGTTGGCATCACCACTCATTGGAGGTGGCTTAATAATACCAAAATGAGAGCTTTCTCCTGCTTGCAGAGGCCTTGCGGTGATGATGCAGCTGTGCCACTGTAAGGTCTGTATTGTAGACATAGCCCTAGATGCTTTCTAGGGGCGTGTCTACACAACAGCATTATTTTGAAATAACAGTGTGTATGTCTAAACAGCAAGCCCGTTATTTTGAAACTGTTTCAAAATAATGGGCTTCTTACTCTGACTTCTGTAACCCTCATTTCATGAGGAGTAAGGGAAGTCAAAGGAAGAGTGTTTTTCCTTCAACATCCTGCAGCGTAGACAGTACCAAAAGCCAAGTTAAGGTACTTCAACTTCAGCTATGAAATTAATGTAGCTGAAGTTGCATATCTTAATTTGACTTTGTCCCATAGTGTAGACATACCCTAGGTGTTTTCATGTTTCTGAAATGTCATGCTACTCAATCATGTGCATACACTAAGGGTGCATCTACACAGCACCCTAAACTTGAAATAAGATACACAATTTGCACTATGCAAATTGCATATCTTATTGCGATTATATTTCGAAATAACTTGTTTAGAAATTTGTCACGTCTACACAGTGCCAAATTTTGAAATAATGCACTATTTTGAGACATCCCTTAACCCTCATAGAACGAGGATTACAGGGTTGCCGAAATAGCACACAGCCCTTATTTAGAAAAATATTTGGAAATAATGGACAGCTTGTTAAGACATGGGGTAGCTATTTTGGGATATCCCAAAATAGCTACACAGTGTAGACGTACCCTTAGTTTATTTGGGTACACATACTGAATTCCTCGTGTATAAGAAAATATTTTCATCAAAAGTTACTGAAACCATAACTATGCTTAACAGATTGTCCTTTAAGTTACATTTGTAGAAGGAGAAGTGGTGAGTCAAAGAGCTTTGCTTCAGATGTCAAGAATCCTGACAAGAACAAGTCTTAAATGCTGGGTCCATGCACATTTTCTTCTAGATCTCAGTGCTCAGGATTTCTTGTGTTGTGTTTATGCTTCGAATTGCTCTGGAAGCTGCTTCTCTTAATCTGTCTGATTCAAGATGAAGAGTACCATTTCTAGGCTCCATTTCTATGGAGTCTCTTCCTCCTTTTTTGCTCTTATAAGATCTGATAGTGAAGTTCTTGAGCAGGCAAAACTAAGAAAACAGTGTTGGGTTCCCTTCATCTTCCGTCCTGGGTTTGCTTTGTAGAAGTCTTCTTCTAACAGTTTTGTCTTTGTGTGAGCTCTCTAACTTGCTCAGCTACTGTACAGGTCCTTAAATTCTATGGTGCTAGGTTCTATTACTATGAGGCTCAATTTTCAAATATACTTAGGACTCACAATTCCACACAAGACCCTTATAAATATGATCTATTTTATTCTTGCAAGGAAGGCTGGACTCATGAATGTTTTAACCCAATTTGTTGCTCTTCATTAAATTGCCATCTTGAATATTGCAAGGTAAAGCTACAAAGCTTATCTTCTTTATACTCACAATTAGTGCAGTATAAGCGACATCATCCAAACAACTACATACCAGTAAAGCTACTCAACGGACTTCAATAGCACTATTCACCTGAGTAACTTTAGTCATATGATTAAGTGCAGGATTTTACCCAGAATTTGTATATAATAAAGATCTTTTTCTCCCACAAAAACAGATATCAAGTTAGGGGAAGAGCCTATGATATCACAGAAGTAACATCCATAGAACAAAATGTGATCTCATTAACACAGCTGTGTCAGTGGGATTGCTCAAGACTCTTAAAGGAAGCCACGTGCTCAAATACCTTGCAGAATTAGTGCCTATGTGCTCAAGCTTGAGTGATTTAAATGAGTGGAGTTGCTTAACACCTTGAAGGTCTGACTCCCTCTATCAGACTGTTCTAGACAGGGGCAAATCTGTTAGGAGATAGCAAATCATATGTAGATGCACAGGCAACAACATCCCCTGTAAAATTCCCAGAAAAAGGGGGGAGGGTGCAATTTACACTCCCATCAAGAACTATGCTATAGCTTCTTGCAGTCTGGCTGTTGGTTTACTAATATTACACCTAAAACAAGCCTCCTCACAGTCTCCTGTTTATTTAACCCCTTTCATAAACAGTGCCAGAATTTTGCTATTGAAAGCTTTTATTCCACACTCATACACTAACAGATGGCCCAACCCTCTGCTTATCAGACAACAACAGCTTGAATTCTGGGAAAGCCTGTGGCCTTGTTGTCCCTGTGAACAGCCAGCTAAGGTGAACAGGTCCAGACAGTGCTGCCAATGTAAATTCGGTGGAACAAGAGCTATTGTCTCCTTCCAGATCTGACACAATAGGATTCTGAAGGGGGAGGGATGGAGGCGGGCTGGGAGCTGCTGTAATCCTAGAACTGTTGGGCGCTCATATCTCCCCTCCCCACGGCCGAGTCAGTCTAACGCTCCCTGCCAGGTGTTTTTTTTCCAGCCCATTGCCCAACCCCCCCAACTGGCTGAGGGCCCCGGCACAGGGCCACCCCCTTCAGCCCCCCAATGAGGGGCATGTAAGCAGCGAGCCCCCGGCGTTGTGGTGCCAGCGCAGCCCCCCCCCCTTACCTGCGGCCTCGGGGAGGAGGGCGG